CCAAGCTTAACGTGGCTCAGCAGTCAGAACATGGATGGAGGGAATAGTTCAACCCAGGTTGAGGTTGTAGGGTCTTGTTGCTGCAGGCTTCAAAGATTCAGCCATTGTGAAGGCTCGGGGCAATGGTGTTCTTCCGCCATGAGAAGACGATTAACTAATCCGCCAAGCTGCATATGTTAGTAGCAAGCCTTCGTAGCTTCTCAGTATATCCTAAGCAACCCTAGCACGATGTTTTACGAAAGTAATTGTCGCAACTTCCACTGGGGTCATGCCGAAACCATGCAAGCCCCATCACCTCACAGCCTACAGCTCCAACCCAAACGATCTGGCGAAAACCGAAACTCCACAGGGTTTAGGTTTAGGGTTTAGGGTTGGGGCTTGTAGGGTTTAGGGTTCTAAAGACATCCATCAGCGCAACCACGAATCGCAAGGGTCAGCTTCGCACCCGCAACACTTGAACAATTCTGCCCAAACCTCTTCCAAACCCCGAAACTCAACGCAGTGGGATGTATCCCAAACACAAGGCATTCATCCAGGAACCTCGGTACTCGAAAGCCTGTCCCAAATGGGTCTTGAACAAGTACCGGTGTTCAGTTAAATGCTGGAAACCACTGGCACCACCAATTCGTCGCGACAGAGATACTGGCTAGTAGTTAGTGATAGTCTCAATACAGTGCGGAGTTTGTACTACACACACGCATACTAAGTGCTACTCGTATAGTCATCAAGAAAGACAAAGCTTAACAGAAATAAACAAAATACTACAACTACTACGCATAAGAACCAAGCTTCAGCTTGATGTAAAACACCAGGACAGACTTCACAAAAAGCGTCTAACAACAATAGCTATCTTTATTACTGTTGATACTATTCAGACTGACAAGGACATCTGAAACCACGGGCCCCCCAGTCCTCCGGCCAGTCCGGGAGGATCCAGCGATTGAGGATGCCAAGGGGCATCAGCCAAGCTGCGCGCGGGTTTAGGGTTTAGGGTTTAGGGTTTAGGGTTTAGGGGAGAGAGGAATTTGATTAAAGTCACCATAGTAAGGAATTTCGGCTATTTACCCTAAAGCCTGAAGCCTGTTATGACTTACCCTAGACCCTGAACCCTACAGCCTATTAATTACCCTAAACCCTAAACCCTTCTTCCCCTAAACCCTAAAGCCTAAAGCATATGATCTACCCCTAAACCCTAAACTCCAAGAGTGGGTTTCTTTCGGGATTTATCGGGCTTTCGGCCTTCAGCCTCCTGGAACTCTAGGGCTTCAGAGTCTTCGGGATCGTGGCCCAAGAAATCCTGGCTTTTCAGGGCTCCGGTCGGATGCTTTAAGGGTTTAGGGTTTAGGGTTTTTTTTTAAAGTGCAATGAGTTTAGGGTTTAGGGTCCATGGGCGTAATAAGGAGTCGTAATACTTATAGAAGCACTTAGAGCAGGGTTTGGGGGTACATTACAGTACCACTATCAGAAGGAATCCTAACGAACACTATTGAATCATTCCGGCCCCTACACTACAGTGATTCTTTTCCAAGCTGCACTGCCCTGGCTTCAGAATATGAGGAACTGGTTCAGCGGTGTCTGCCCATGTCAACCCCACTTCTATGTCAGGCAGAAGGGTGTCCCGTGTGGTGTGCAGCCACACACATGCTTCGGTGCGATACAATCCGGTTGCGCCTGCATTACCGTACTTGAAATGTGCTTGCACTTTACCCACACGCACACACACAGAGAATCCAAAACTCCCTGATCCCCACGTATTCCCATCATGCTCCCACTCTTCCAGACTATACACGATGCTTTCGCTGCTCCGTAGCCCTGAGGCCTTGGTCGCTAAACCCATCGCTCCGGAGAACCACCGTGGGATCTGCCACGTACTGCCTCAGGCCGGGTCGTTGAGGTCTTGCGGAGCTCGAGCAGGGTCGAGGGATAAGGGCTTAAGAGAGGGGCCTCAATGGTTCCGAACAGGGGTTCGGGGTATCGCATACTATACCTCGAACCCGGGAACCCTAACAAACAGCTCTAGCGGCTCAGAGTAGGGGGAGTAGCCAACATCACGGCGCCAAGAATCGCCACGGCCACAATAGCAACTTGAGTCGCACAAGCCCCGATAGCAGTCCGGCATCTTGACTTTCCAAACCCTGAAACCATGCTGCTCTCCTCCGTTCTTGTTCCGGCTCGAAAGCGTAGATGTGCATGCGCACAGAAGCATGCGTTCCCCCATAACATGCTTGCTGATCTACATCAGCACTGCCGCACCAGCATCCTGGACTTCAACGGAACAACGGAAAGCACATGATGGGCAAAGGCTAAGTAGGGCACGCATAAGCATTCTCGTTGAGAGCGCTTGCACACCACAAGGTCTCATCATGGCCTTGCTCAGGGACTGAGATACTAGACCACGAGGTCTTCAGGGGTGGAAGATTTTCCCAAGTATACCTATCCCCTTACCACATTGATTCAATGGTGTCCGTCTGGGTAAAGAGACCGGATGCTTCAGGCTTAGATCATCTTGCATCTAACCTCCAAGCACGGAAGCACTCACCACCCACAGACACACATCGGTGCCTGCGTGATCAAACTAAAGTAGTTGCGATTGTCTCCGGATCGATTTGCACGTCCTCACACGAGAACCGAAGCATAGGGTGGTTCTCGTTTGTTCGTTCGACCGATCCATGAGGACCCACATTTCCCACCCTTTGCGCCACAGCCAGCCCACTGATTCGTTCAGCGGCCGACCAGGACGTGAAACCCAGAAACTCGGGCAGACTCCTTGTTGACCAAGTTACACTTCGATCCCTCTCCCTAGCAGCTTCGGAGCGAGAAGGTTGCCGAACTATCTCCCAGCATTTTGCAGGCCCTGGGCCCTGAACCCAATGGTGCCGAATCACCTCTCTGAGCCCCCAAGCCGACCTTCCTCAACCAAGCATCGAGGCTGTCGGGATAGAGGACGGCAGCCGAAATGATGAGGGAAGGGCGCCAGACCGAAATCCGAATTACTCCCGAAATCATGAACCTTACAACTCCCAAACCAGGCTCCCAGAAGCTAGCTCCGAACAAGAGGCTCCACCACCCGAGGTCCCCGGCTGAAGGCCGGCAGCAGCTGCACGAAGAACCATAGCCTCAGTAGGACCCAACTCCTGGAGACCTCGCAGAAGCCTCCACGGGCCTCGCTCGAATGTCGGGGCCTTGATAATTAGAATAAGGTTTTGGGGCTCCTTTATGGAATTATTATATTGTAAAATTTGGAACCAGGTTTTGGGGTCCTTTATGGTATTTATTTTTTAAAAAGGAAACCCTGGCAGTGATATTGGTAATGATATTTAGGCTTCTGTATTACTTAACAGATCATGGGACTAGGGTTAGGAATAAGGTCAGTATAGCTATAAATAGTCATAATGCCCAGTATTGGGTGTTTCTAATACAGCTGACCTACCACGTCCTATGATACTCAAGAAGACTTAGACTGTGTGTGTGTGTGTGTCTGGCCTAATTACATAGCATAGGGATTTTTGTATTTGCACGTGTGCAATATGTAGCAAGTCATAAAGTATCAGACAGTAGCATGAGCCCGTAGATTTAGATATATAGATATATATATATATACACTACACGAAAGAAACAAAGCCTTTCTATAAACGACACACCTTGCACTGGGCCCTCTCATCCCTGGAACCCGGACCTGCTTCCAAGGGGCAGATCCAGAGAGAAGAGCTGACCCTCCTGCTTAGGGTTTTTGGGGCTTGTGGGTTTTTAGGGCTTCCTTTTAGGGTTTAGGGTTCAGGGGTTAAGGTTTATAGGGTGTACAGGGTTTAAAGGGTCTGAGGGTTTATAAGGTTTAGGGTTCTTTTTGTTGACACCTCTTTTCCAACTTAGGGTTCAGGGGTTCAGGTTTACAGGGTTTAGGGCTGTTTAGGAGGCAAAGCGGACCGAAGAATAAGAGTTGAGCTAGTATCAAGGTGCTTGTGAGCATGGTTGCTATAAGTTTGCTATATATGGGCTACTATGAAGCTAAAAGGGCTACATTACAAGGGTTACTGAACAAAAAGGGGTTATACGGCATAAGGGTTGCTACAGAAACAGGCGTTGCTACGGCGCCTCTGTGTGGGTCGGGGCAGCGTCCGCTGTGCTTCACGGCATCAGCAACTCCAGGATTGTCCAGCTTTAGGGTCTGGGGCTGTGTCCCTCGCCCTCCACCCCCGCAGCCTAGGCCCCAAAAACTAATGCCCTTGACTTGAAGGGCCCACTTTAGGGTTTAGGGTTCAGGGTTATAGGGTTATGGGGTTGTAGGGTTTAGGGCGCATGAGCTTCGGATATAGGTTGGGTCAGTTCACTCGAAGAGATCCTCCCCCCCGACTCCCTGGAAACTCTTACTCCCCATCAAAAAATTCAGAAACCGGGAAAAATCGGAGACGCCCCGGGCGCGCCTCCAGCACCAGCAGTGCCCGAGAGGAGCCTCCCATGGAAAGGCCGATGGTTGAGATTAGAATTTCTTTTGGGTTTAGGGTTTAGGGTATACTGTACCATGCTTCTATCAAGGAGCCCGCAACATAGTACGGCTAGTTATAAAGGACACCTTTTCAAGATCTCTGCAGCCTCAGTCCTTTCAACTTTCGGACTGCATTCCCTCGCAGCTTCACGACCTGATGCAGGGGCCTTAATTAATAATTAGGATAGGGTTTGCGGGTATACTATGCTATAATTCCAACAAGGAGCCCCCAAAATAGTATAGGTAATTATGAAGGGCTCTATATCTATATCTATATCTATATCTATATCTATATCTATATATATATATATATGTATCTTACCTGTTGTGCAGGGCATTTCGAAGCCTTTCAACTTGATGTGGTGGCCCGACGTTCGTTGCCGGCCACCGTCCTGTACAACTTATCGGATGCTCAACATGTGAGCGCACAAAATCAACAAAACTCGACTCTAAAATCGCAGGTGCCCTGGGCAAGGCCAGAGCTCGCTGGAAGCTGTACACTGTACATTCGAAGCGCTCACGTTTGACGCTTGCGCGCTGCACGGCGGGCCAAAAAGGCCTGTGCAGAGTTCAAAAGCGTCACTGTGGGCCTCAGCCGTGTCCGAGGCCCGGCCTTTGCTGGATCTGGTGGAAGGATTCTCGGGGGGAGTGCTGCAACTGTGGGTGTTGGCACAGTGCAGCTAGAAGCAGGGATGCTGCTAAGGGATGCCTCGAACAATGGCGAAACGAGGTCGTCCTTGAAGAAGATTCGCGCTGAATGTGTGTAGGCCACCTGGCCTGAGTTCCTATGGGACGCGGGCTTTCTTGCTCGTGGATCCAGAACGCCGCAGACAAGTACTGGCCTAGATTCACCACGGGAGTATAACCAAGACAAGCTGGCATCCTTGACGTAGGCAGTGTAGATCCCAACACCGTGCACGGAGCCGTTCGCGATCCTCACGCCGTTCCCTCGCTCTCCAGGGATCAGAAGACCTGGTTCCCTGTTGGGGCCACAGTAGAAATGATCATTTTTAATACTCATATTGGGTTTTTTATTAAAACAACCCTAAACCCTATAATCCTAAACCCTCAAAAATGCAAAATCGTAGCCAACAAGGACCCAGGGACCCTGCGAATAGATGGAGGACAGGTTGGACATGTCTGTACCGTGAAGAGCCGGCTGCAGCTCGCCCTCCGAAGCACGAGCGCAGGCGCTCAGAAATCGGTCCTCCGCTTTTGGGGGTTGAGGGGTTGAGGGGTTTTTTAAGGCTTTAGAGATTAGGGTTTATAGGGTTTGGGGTTTAGGGGTTTAGGGGTTTATAATAGGGGTTTATAGGGCTTTTGGGCTTAGGGCTTAAGGGTTTAGGGTTTAGGGAAAGTCGGCATGTCATCATACTTCATCTTACGTGTCTCGGGGATCCATCATGCGAGGAACGAAGGATGGTAATGGGCGAATGGCTAGTATCGTTGTGCGGCGCACTCACAAGACTAGACAAGGGGACGGAAGTGAACCTACGGAGCCTGGCACCCGACCAAGGCTTCTTCTGTATGGGTATATGCTTATATTGAGGGAGGTGAAACGGGGCAGAGCAAGCAAAGCCTGTTACTCCCTGCGCAGAATGCAACTAATTAACCTATTAACACATGTGTCTAGAGTGGCTGGTCCGTGCGTTTCAGTACCGTGGGGTATGTTCGACGGCTTCCTGCCTCCGTACTCTTGCCCCAGGCACTCCCGAGCACCTTGACGACGCTGCGTGTGCCAACGCTACCAACCGATCCCAATAACGAATGATCACGGAGAATGGTCTTTCGATGGGCGCATCTCATCAAGACTAGTCGCGAAAAACAAGAGGCGGCGGTTTGAAAAGACATGGGCTCATGAACGGACCAGGTGCCAGTCTGAGCGGCATCAGAACTGCAGAGGGTAAGATTCTACATGTGGAGGACTCGTAACAGCATACCGTGAAGAGTGCCTGCGTGCTCTCGCGCAGGCATGTTCTCGCTCTCCCGTGGCGAGCTTAGTTGCGAGGTCCCCTGGCAAATGTGTACGAGCTAGGTGTCACGCCTTGGCTTAGCCACTCTGTCAGCATTGCCGACCTCTCTCGTGCTGTCTGTCTGCCTCTGCTTCTGTTGCTTCTCTCTCGTGCGCAAGTAAACGAAACTGCGGTCCTCCACAGCTTGAGGCAGGGGTGTGGGCTTCAAGTTCCACTGCCGGCCGCAACGCAAGTACTGGACAGAAAGAGAAGCGCAGAAGGCATTGGCGTGGTCCTTCAGAAACTTCCATCGAAGCTTTTCGAACGGCGTGGTTGGTCCTGCCGATGGCAGATCATAGTTCAAGTGCACTTGGTACTTGCTCCTCAGCTCCTGTGCCAGCTTCTGCATCTCGGCCTGGATGCTTTTAACGATGGTGGCTCGCTTGCAACGCCTCCTTCGCTGACTTGCTTCGGTGCCCCTGCTTTCCGCTTGTCCTGATTGCTGCGCATACTCCTTAGCCGTGAGCTCCGCCCGGCGCAGGGCCGCCTGCCATGGGGAGATGTCGATCTTTGGAGTGCAAGGGCGGCTCGGCGTGGTTGGCTCCAGGAACTCCCAGCCAAAGTCCGAAGCAGTGGAAGCAGTGTCGAAGCCTGCTGTGGTTGAGGAGCAGGCAGATGCCACCTCCAGATACTTCCACTTGGCCTCCAACGAGCCAACATGCTCCAAAGACAGAACAATGCAGTCCTCCCAGTCGCTCTCCAGCTCCTCGCTTTCGTACACCGCCTCGCGCATCCGCCGTCTCAAGTTGTTGCGGCGGGTCTGCGGATGGTAGTCGCTACCATACTTGCCCAGATATGTTGGATCCCGCCACAAATTGCGGCCTCAGGTGTTTTCCAGAAGGGTTTAGCATTCAACGCGCTTGGGCCTGCTTTAGAAGCCGCGACCCCAGCAAGATCAATTCGTCTTGAATGCGCCCTGCTGCTCACACACACACACACCCACACCCAAGATCCGCCCTAATCGCCCTGCGCTTTGTCAGTCAAGGAAACCCACACCCGCTCTGCCCGTGTCCGACCTGCATTCTGGGATGTTCGGGGCGATTCACCTTCTGCCAAATTTGTGGAACTCCCGATCGGCCCTACTTTGCGCTGTGCGTGTTTTTGAAGGAGACCTGCAAGCATATTTGCCCACACCCCCAATCATCGTACAAGGGGCCACCCAACCCAACAGGGGTTAATTACACCACAAGCCTGACAGGCTGGGATACTGTGTCGGTAGTACGTGGCTACTGATCAAGTACCTCTACAATACTGTTTACTGGTTTGCTGCTACCCGAGCTGCGAAAGCAAGCGGGCTTAGCATGAGCATGATCACAAGGGGCACATGAGCAAGAACAACTCAGATTGCCGCTGCCAGAGTTCACGCTGCGCTTCGCGGCCGATCGGCCCAATCCGACCTGACATCTGCGCTTAAAAGGAAATATATATATATATCTATATATGTATATATCTATATCTATATCTATATCTATATCTATATGTAACCTTTAATTTAAAGTACTCCACCGAAACCATGTGCACTGTCTGACTTCGAACTTCGAGGGCCAAGGTCGCTCCTTGCCGCCGGGGCGCCTCCTCGCTTGCCTTCCCCATCTTCTTGGGGTTCCGGCAGCTCGCAGCGTCCAAGCGCTTGCGGTGGCCGCGCTTCATGGACCAGCCCCGCGAAGGGCCGAGGCCATCGAAGCCCAAGTCATCAAATCCATCCAGACACAGATCCATGGCTCCACGACGCGTTGAGGCTGTTGGGGGTTTGGATGTATGGGTTTGGGGATTCAAGGAAACAACGATCAAGTTCTCATGAGCTGCCGTGTTCCTATGCCCCCACCCTCAGGGCCAGCTACAGTATGAAGTCATGCCACAAATACCATGATCTCATGTCTCCCCCCCCCGCCCAAGGCTTCAAAACCAAGGCTCAAGGAGACAACTCAGAGCACGGCGCACCTTTTTTGAAGTGCCGGAGGGCAAACTTCAAAGATCGATGCAGGTGGTTGCCGGGCGTAGCAGCCTCGCAGCCAACACGTTGTCATTAGGTGGGCGAGGGCTCCACTTACCTAAATCATTGGTTACTGGGTTACATCTGTTATGGCGAGGTTAGTACCTTAGTAATCTACTATTTGGGTCACCATTAGCTTAGTGGGTTTAAATTGTCTCTAACATGAGGCCTGAGCACTCGGATAGATATGGCCTTGTCTCGACATCACCAGGATTCGGAGCAACCCCGTGAAATAAGCAGGCCTCGGTGAAGACGGGGAAGATCCGCGTCTGCTTCTTTCCTGCGAGGTAATAGCTCCAGCGACTATACCAGCGACTCACTTGCCTACAGAGCCCAAGTCCAAATGTGAATTAACGGAACCCTGAAGCCGCGAAGAGACACTATGCCTGGTGCGTGGGTCGTCCCAAAAAGAATCTTCTGGATTCGAGCACCTAGACCCAACCATCCTAAACCGTAAAACCTTGAACCCCAAACTCCCAGCCTGGTTTCGAGGGGCTGGCTTTGTCGGCAAACCCGGCACAGGAGAAGCCGAACCTGTGCGGCCAACTTGCGACATGTAGGGGCCTGAAAAATTAGAAATACCGCGCCCCCTGGGAGTTCCTGTAGAAATACACTTACAATAAGATCCCCCAAAGCCCTGTTCGTCCTTATTTAGGCTGCACATACAACATGCAAATGCCGAAACTGCCGAAAGACAGAGGTCAGGAGTGCTGGTAGCACTAGTACTGCTACGATGCACACTGCTACTGCTGTTGCTTCTTTGCGAAGGCTTTAAGCTGTGATAGTCATCAGTCCTGCACGACTGTTGCTATCAATGCGACTACTCTACAATGTTTTCTACAGTTAGTACTAGTTCCAAATTCCGAGCTGTTCACCTCCGCCACCTTCATCAATGCCACACAACTCTCAAGCCGTCGTAGAAGTAGTAGCGAAGATAGCACTGACAGCAGCATAGCTCGCGTGATGCGGACGCGCATTACGGCACTGTCAAGGACAGGAGGTCCATGTTGACTTAACTTTCAGATCCTATGCGATGCATCTGGGACTTTTTCTGGGCAAGGTGAGAGATTACCCAGATCCGAGGAAGATGAGTCACAGGCTCCTCTATGGCATCCATCTGTGACGTGTGGCCAGGAGATGCGAGGGAAACCAACACCTCAGAAGACTCAAATTTAGGCCCAAAGCGCTAAACTCCAAACCCCTAAACCCTTAGCCCTTTCGGGATCGTGGATTCAATGCGTTTCGCACAAGATTTCGCCTGCGCTTTTCAGATAACACACTGGCCAGCGCAGGGGCTGCAAAACTGGCACTCAAACTGTAGGAAACTTGCGACAAAAGGAAACATCACTTTCTCCTCGGCCCTGCAAGCAGAAAATGATAACCAAGAGGCCAAATTTGGCTTGCAATTATGCTTGATTGGCGGATTGCTCTCTGTGTGCATAGCTCTCCGTGTGCTTGTGTGCGTGTCCGTGTGTGGTCAGCCTAGGAAAAAATCGACCGATCAACCTGCACATGAACAGAGATATACATGCAAGGGAGCATGTACATGTGGATGTACGGCGAAAGGCTGAAACTGGTCCATTGAATGACAGACATGTCAATGCAAGTGCCAAAACCGTAACATGAAGCATATAAGATATCAGACAAGCAAACCCACAGTGCTGAAACTTAATAGTGGGACTGTCGACGAAGCTTTACCCCATCAGACATCTGACAAACCACAGTTCGTGTAGAAGCAGAGATCCAGGCGCTGGCTGACGGCAGTCCATCTACACCTCGCAAGCTCGTTCGGCATCCGGGACCGGTCGCACGGGTCGAAGACTGGTTCCCATGAGTTTCTTAGCTGGTTGGGCCCCTGCAGCTCCTCGTCTTCCTGGATCCTTATAGTGCCATTGTGGCTTCTGTGCTTTTGCTTAACAGGAGGCCAAGCTAACAAAACGCCACTGAGTCAAGGTTTGTGTGTGTGTGCGTTAATTCACTGAGGCCGGCACGTGACAGGGACCGCAGTGTGGCTCGAAGAAGCCACACCTTCACACGGGCCCCGAAGGGGCGCGTACTCCCGTTGATACTGACAAACATAGCAGGGCATCTTCCGATTGCATCTCGTAAGATCAATAAGAACATCAACTCCCTCTGCCGGGCCTTCCGTCCGCTTGCAAGCACCTAAGTCCAGCTCGGGCACAACTTGCACAAAGAACCGCGACATCATCTGATGGAATGGAAACCAACAGAAGAATGCCTTCGTGGTTAATGCAATGCTTCATGTATGTGGTTTTTGTTTAGCCTCACCATTTTTGATTGGAGTCCTAAGGCGGCGACATGTGTGCGCTACCCGAACCATCGAAGCACAGCAGACTAGAGGCTTTTTGTGGAAGTGAAGCTGGCACCAAAGCCCCCTGCGACTGCTTTGCAAGCGCTTGTGTTCACATCAGCTCCTTTGTCTGTGCCATGAGGTGCCGACATGAAAACAAGTTCCAAGCAGGCCTCCGTAAATTGGACTTAACATCCGACTCATCCGACCATGGTGTAAGGGCTGAGGATTTAGGGTTGTCCACAGGCCGTAAGCCAACATCTAAGTTTCATAGTCTGAACTTTGCCGGGGCACCAGGATTGCAATTGCACCCGGGTCCACCTCCACAATTTCTCCTGCAGGGTTCGGAAGACCAATGCGGCGGTTTCGATAGCAATTCCAATTCCCTTGGGCTGAAGCAGATGTATGGATGCTACAATAACAGCTGGAAACCTCTCGTGCTCGCTCGTCGGTGGTCAACTTGAACATCTTGCAACATTGGCAGTTCTCTGAAGCTGGAGCATACATATGCCCCAAAACCGTGTTGCAATTATGTGAAAGACCCTACATTAAAACTCCTCACGCCAGGCGCTGATCTCCTGTAACGACCCCCGAACTTCAGATTTGTTTGCGTGTTTCTTCAGAAAACTGCTTTCTTTACTTGCCTTCATCATCTGCCATCTCCACTTGGAAGGAGGCCTCAGAGGCGCAGGGGGCAGTCTTGACAAAGACGTCCCGACATGAACAGAACCCGACGGTTTAGGATTTAGGGTTCAGGGTTCAGGGTTTAGGGTTGAAGCTCAGGGTGCATAGATTCGGGGGCCATTCTCGAATCGTGACTCCAGGGCCCGCTGCCAGGCATTTCAAGACACGCATGACTACCAGGGTCTGCACGGGGACACGTCACGCCAAGGCTACTATAGCACTGTGGCGGAGAATAGCTCGGGTCTTTCGGCAAGAAGAGGACAACCACAGCCGTAAGCATCTGAGAACCATAGCTTTGTCGTGTGAGGCTGTCGTAGTTGTAGTGTTTGGCATGCACGAAACTATGCTAATAGCTCGGTTTGTAGTGCTGCGACTATGACGATGACTCTTTGCACCACCTACCCAAGATGATGAAGGCGGCTTGCCCCGTGCGGTTGGTCTTCTTTGGCAATAGTATCAATAGTACTACTCGTCGTCATCATCATCATCATGGCTCTGCCTTGGGATTCCACTTGGCTCTTGAGACCAGCAACGGCGAACATCCGAGAGTCCCACAGGAGCAGAAGACTACGAGATTTGAGGTGGTACCTAGGAAAGTCTGAGCTTTTCGCATCCGGGTCTGCGAAGACGGACAGCGGCCCTGCGACCCCTCCTTGCACGGATTGGATAGATTCGGGTGGGGGGGGGGGTTGATAAAGAGTTTCGGGTTTGGAGTTTCGGCTTAGGAGCTTGGTGGACGAGCTGAGTGCTCTCCTGGGATGCTATTCCTGCGATTGTTCCCGCAGCACCTGGTCGGAACGCGTCGACAAAATCAGAGGCCCCGTGTTAGAATTGCGATTTGAAGCCAAAAAACCCGAGAATGGATGGAATCGGATCCCCCTTTGACGTATGTGCTGATCCGAGAGAGAGAGAGAGAGAGAGTCGCGGAGCCTTCCGCCAGGAAATCTTTGGTGACAGCCTGCTGGCGCAAACCAGGCAGGACTCATGTGCATGCCTGTGACCAGCGGCATCTTACGTATTCCATGACAGATCATGAAGGTCGAACTTCAGGGTGGAGGGCTGAAGTGCTTTGACGACTGGAAGCTTTAGTCCCCCTGAGGACTGCAGCCCGAAGCACCCCGAAAGCCCTGCAGTGGCCTTTGGGAAATTCGAACAAAGGAGACCTTAATAATTAGAATAGGGTTTTGGGGTATAGTGTATAGTATACTATAATTTTCATGAACCCCAAAACAATATTCGTAATGATTTTCGACCCCTATGTGTACTGCTTTAGGGTCATGTCGGGGTAGAAGGCCTCAAGTGGAGAGACTCTCGTGCCTGCACCCCGCCCCGGAAGAAGAAGAGGCCCAGGAGAGCCTGCCACAGCTGTTTAAGTCCCCTGTCAGGGTTCTGTAAGGGCCCCCTGAAACGGGCTCTAAAGAAGGGTCCCTTTTGAGGGTTCTTAGGGCTTGTATGAGGGCTTTGAGATATTAGGATTTAGTCTCTTGCGTCCTTTAATGAAGATCCTACTGCTTGATTCCAGGGATTGCAGCTGTTCCTCTGCTCCACATGTCGACCTGCCAACCAAAAAAAGAACTGAGGCCAACGGTCGCGTGACACCTGGAACAAGGCTCCGCCCAGGAGCGCCAGTGCCCAGCGGCTTGGCCTCGCGAAATCGGTACACTTCGGCTTCCGAAGCCAATCCCAGGCCGTATAAGCTTCTCTCAAACCTTTACTCGTTTAGGGTGGCTG